TAGGCTGCTTCGAAGAGCTGCCAGCTACTGACAGCCCTGTGGAGCACAGTTCTTTTCTGAAGGGATGGCCATGAGTCTGGAAACATTCTGACAGTCGCTCTTTTTTCACTCTTACTGTTTGTACCACTGTCCCTTTAGACCCTGTCATGGCTGAAGACTGTGAACGCCATTAGATACTTGCATCCAAATGATACAGATAAAAACTGCTTCGGCCCTACTTCCTGCAGCATTTGAAAAGAACACCCTCACCACATCAGTGATCACATGGTCTAGACGTTGAAGCCATGTTCATCAGGCATGACTGCTGAAAGTCAGGCTACCATTTAGTTGACTTTGTGGTCGTCCACTGCTATCTTTCAAGATATAAATCATTTTTACAATGACTGGCCTGATGACTTACATGGGAATTATAAAAGGACAATCACCCTGACATCCTTTCAGGTGGTGAGAATCTGTGTCATTACCCTTGGATTGCAATACAGTTCTTTAGGTGTTATATGTCGAAGGGGTCGGGGAGGTGCAGGTCAACAGATCCAAGGCTTCTTCTACTTGAATTTCCTCACGACTACCACTAACTCTTTCTTCACAGACCAAGAAACTAATATAGGGAATCATCCAAACGCTGAACGGGCCCATTCCAATTATGCCTTTGAGCACAGAAGGCATGATTAACTGGGTAGATTCATGGACCTAGTCAATCCACTGTGAGCTGAACTTGGGCATAGATGTCATGTTTTGGCTGTCCCCACATGTCCCCACTCGACATGCCCCCATGCTAACAGAGTGAGCATGGTAGGATTCTGCTACACCGTATGAGGATGAGAGTCATTGTCCTAAGTGTTCTTCCAAACCTGGGGTTTGAGTATTCTGTATTCCTGGACTGTGGGTCAACTCAGAGAAAAGAATTAAGTGGAAAAGCAAGAAGTTGGGGGATCTACAATTAAAGTGATGACGTCTTAAATGGATGAAATGCAGGCTTGAGAGGAATACCTGGAGGCCTAAGCAGAGACATTGCCCTTGTTTACCCTACTGATAAAGAGAAGGAGTAGAGACCATTTCCCTTCCCATGGGAATGACGACTGCTGGCAAGTTCCCTCTAGATAGTCACTTCTTCTCTCCATCACCTTTAGTGACTAATTGACTGCCTGTGGGCTATGGCACCCCAGGGTCTTCACAGAATTAATAAGCTGTTGCTCTCCACGGGGTGGGAATCCTGGGATCTGTCTCCCTCTACCTCCACACCGCATCTGCCTTCTTACCTCTAACACCAAAACAGAGGCTAACTTCTCCCTGAGCTGAGGGGAAGATTATTGGTAAAGAGCTTCATAGCAAAGAGGTACCTCTGACCTCCATTGGCCCCATCTTCCTAGCAGAACTGTGGTGGGAAGTGGGTGAGGGGATTCTACAGTCAGTCCACCTTCATTCAAATACCAACTCTCCTGCATATTAGCTGACTTGCTTTAGGCAACTTATTTAACTTCTCTTTGCCAAATTCCTTTATGTTAAAAAGGAGATAATAATACATGCAGTTGTTAGGAGGGATATTCTGAGGTTGTTGGTAATGTTTAACAAAAGTCTAAGGGGGTGGGGGAGAAAGAAT